TGGAAGTGAGTGCGCGAGGTGGTTATAAAAGGCTCCTACCCCCCAGGAATGAGGTATGCTAACTTTGCGCTATCTGGTTCTCCCCGGAGCTTCTCTTCTCCTTCCGTTTTAGGCCCCTGTTACTCAGTTCAGAGGCAAGATCGTTGACAGCTAAGACCGGCCAGATTATGCATCATCACCACCCATTTGCCACCCCTAGCTCAAAGGTGTTACATGAATAGACTAAAATCAAGAAGTATTTGTTCTCTCCTCATATTACTTGGATATGGTGTTTTAATTGATTAAACATGGATGGGGCCAACGGGTGGGGGACCATTAGACCTACTCACAGGTTGGGCTTTGGGCTCAATTTTAAACTGTTTCGGGATTGGGCTTTGTAGTGGACCCATTCAAAATTGGGCAAAATCTAAGCATGAACTCGGCCCATAAATAGGTTTAACAACCATTAGGGGAGGAGGAGGAGCAAATAAATGGTCCCCCCTAGCTCCACCCCTGCTCATAAAACCAGTTATTGGGTCTGATTTGATTAGATCAGATTATAATTGGCATCTACTGATCTACACTTACCCTATGATAATAGCAAATTGGAACTTCTGTTTTGATAGTATCACGGTATCACCTTAATAAGAATACCCAGTAAATATTAAACTCTTTATATAGTGATAAATATGTTTTTTCAACAGAAAGTTGTGTATGGGCAAATTATTGATTCTCCTACTTTTCAAATTTGTCACTCTTACAAACATTGATAGAAGGGGGATTCTAACAGACTAACACAATTCAAGGGAGTAGGTGGGTGGTGATCACTGATCAGTAGGGGCTTTACAAAATAAAATATAAAAAAAAAATTATGAGGGGTGGATTATATTCTTCACTAAAATTTATCCTTTTAGACATAGAATATAACAAATATTACAAGAAACGAGAATTTTATATATCATTAACTATAATCATTTGGGTCTTTATTCATTTGTAATAGCAAGATACAGTCCCAAACGAATTAATCAGAACACAAACCATTGAACTAGAATTGACATAATCCATTTGGTCAATACGATTCTATTGGGTAGTCCTGATCCATTGACGATTTTATTCTGATTAAGGGTTCAATTGGGAGGATTGAACTGAAAATTAAATTTCAGCTAAGTTGATTCAGCAAAAAAGTTGAACTGAACGAATTGGGGTCTGTTCCTCATAGGGCATGTCTTATACCGACCTCATAGTTACATCTCACCCTGAATTAGAAACATTCCTAATAACTGATAAATACAAGTATAGAAGATGTTCCTGATGGTTAGAACATGCTATAAGGTCGGTGTGAGGTACAAATACAGACTCGAACTGAACAGTTCTTCAAAGCTGAAACATTGGTTTAGCTGCTTTTACTGCGTTGCTTTGGAGAAGTCTCTAAAAGAAGCTTCAGCAAAAAACTATATTTCTGGCTTTTAGATTGTCACTGTTGGCTTTTAATTTGAGGCTTTCACCAAACATGGTTTATGGGCCACCTCGCAAAGCCAGGAGCCGCTGTGTAAAATGCCTCCCAGTCGGGCACCCATTGTATGTGGTTATGGGTGTGGTTTGTAATTTCAGCCTTCAGGGACCGAATGTGACAGTGATACCATTACCAGAAAAGAAACCTGTGGGGCGGAGATGTGAACTCGTGCAAATTAATGAATATAAAAAGAATCCGACCTGCCGGATTCGAACCAGCGACCTAAGGATATCTGTTGAACCAACTACAGTCCTCCGCTCTACCAACTGAGCTAAGGTCGGATTTTGATGGTAGGTCGTTATATAATTATATTTTAACTATATATCCCCATCTTGTATTGTTTTGCAACATATCGTGAGTGCGTAGACACCACTGACCAGTTGGGGCCTTAGGGATGCAACTTGGGTTGGATCGAGCCAATATTTTACATTGTTTCAGTCCAGATTCTTTGGTCCGGATCCATTCAAAAATTGACAAAAGCCAACATAAATCTAGATTAAATTTATTACCTTTACAAACAAATTTTCCATAGTGTCAATTCTCATCTCTCTCACAAACCAAACACAGCATAAGAGAAAATTGAAAGAAGCTAATGTCCACCTAATCAAACCATGCTACATCAAAGTCAAAAGTAGAGAGCTCTTAAGAATGCATATACAAATACAACAACCCCCCAAAAGAAAAAAAAAAAATCATCTAATGCATATACAAATGCAGACAATGTGACATAAATTAACTTCTTAGCCACCTAATAAAAAAGAATTAATGGGTGTGTGAACCGGTCCAAGTTGAACATAATTAGGCCTGTAAACGGATCGAAATAGAATCAGGCTAGATTCAAATTCGATTTGATATCCATCTTTGGGTTCGAATTCGATTTCGATTATCAAATTGAACATCCGATTCGATTCCAATTCGACTGAAAAATCTGAAATTTTTAGCATAGCAACCATTCTCTAATACTATAATCAAATTACCTTGGGAAAAGAAGCAGGGGATGGCAATAGGCATGGGCTCCTAGTGGTAGTCGTGGGTTGTAGCACAAGAAGGTGATGCTGACGATTCACACTGAGACTGGGAAGATGATCAGTCCCGACAACAATCGTGGGTTGCAAAACGATGACAGAGAAAAGAAGATGATGATTCTCGGTCTCATTGTCAGAGAGAGAGAGAGAGAGAGAGGTGGCGAGATGAGCGATAATGGTGATGAAGGGCGATGACCGGTGGGTAAGAAGGTTCAGGTTCGAATGAAATGAAAGAGTTCGATGAGATTTTCGAACTCATTAGTCATTATTCGTTATTTTTTATTTTCTTTTTTTAATCTTTATATTATATAATATATATATATATATAATCGGTTCGAATATTTATCAGATCAGATCAATGCATATCTGTGCCGAATCTCGAATTCGAATTCGGATTTTCGAATACCGTTTACAGCCCTAAACATAATTGAATCCAATTACGAATTACCACCAAAACTCAATTAAACCCACAATAGAATTCCAAGTGCCGCAGCGAGGAATGCCCACGCCCTCGCCTTTGCCGGAGTATGAACTCCGTTGGCCGTGGGCGGTGGGGGGGTAGAAACAGAAGCCTTTGTGGCGTTTCCTTCCCTCACAACAATACCAAACTTCATCCCTCCCAGGCAATGCCCAGAAATGTTGCAAATAAACCAGTAATTCCCTGCTTGGGTGAGTTTCACTTGATCCATCCCGCTGTTATACGTGGCCAACACTCCACTGCTTGCATCGCAGGATCTGTACGTCTCTTCCACCACCTCCACCACATTATGTTGCCCCTTTACGTAATTAAAAGCTGTAAGAAATTAACAGAGAATATTAATATCAGTGATCATCTATCTCTAACATGGAATTAATGGTTGAAACTTGAAAGGAATATTAAGTAGTAGGCTAACCAAGAACATCTCCGACGCTGAAGTTGTATTTCTGTGACCAAGAAAGATAATTTACCCCCGTATTCCACTCTTCTTCATCACCAACTGTGTATGTCGTCGATACAACTTTTTCCGCAGAGAAGAGATTGACTAAAAGGATCATCCAAAAGCTGTAACATGTGAGCAGATGGATTCCTGTCATGGCTGCTCGGAATGATTGATGAGAAGAAGAGAAGATTTGTTGATGAAGCTCCTCAGTCTGTATTCTGTCTAAAAATAAAAGACCATCTATGACTTGCTTTTGTACCAGCAGGGCTGGTTGGTAGGTATTATTTTATTGTTTGTTTGAATGAGCCAAGGATAAGTTTCTCGGTTTCTCCTCACTCAAGTTTCCAACTACTCCAATGTCTGACCCGTTGAATATTATGATATTTTTACTCATTTAGACCTTTTCAAAGATGAGTTGTACTTGTGATGAACACAAATTCCTCGAACTGGGGAAGGTAAATCCTATCAGACCACATAGGCCTAGTCCATAAGTGTAGAAATGGGGTTACTTCACATTATTCGATCAGTGTAATTGATAGGTCGAGATGGTTTGAAAAGCTCTCCTCGGCAAGCTATGGAGACTGCAAAAGTTAATTAAAAAGAAATAAATATAAATCCGTCCAACCAATTTGAGCTGGAGCAAGGTATAATGGTTCCTGTAGTCTTCAGAGGATAAGATTGGTAAGGCATGAATTAATGGTACTGATGCATCATTCTATCACTTTTTCTCCCAGCCTTTTGAGGGAAGCCAAGTCAAAAGAAAGAAATAATAAAATTTGGGGAAATCAATTTAATTAAGGTTTTGTTTGGAAAGAGTATAAATACAAATATGTACATTACCAATATATATAAAATATAAGGTTTTGCATTCTACAAATTTGTATTTATACCCTTTTCAAATTGAGCCTAAGGAATGTGGAGAGGTTAAAGAATTTGTCAAAAAATATAGGAGAGGTTTAAGCAATGATTCAAAAATCAACCTGGAATTGGAATTGCTTTGGCCACCGATTTTTGGGTCAACGATTTGGTCATCCCGTTTGAATGAATGACCCATTCCAATTTAAAAAATAAAATAAAAAAAACATCTAAAATTATTATTTGAATTGAACGAATCAATGGTTCGACCGCCTAAGTCAGCGGGTCATTGATCAAGTCAATAATGTTTTACCAAAAAATAGGTAAAGGGTGAAACGGAACCAATCGCCTAAATGGTTCCAGGCCAAACAATCTGGCCATCCGGGTAAACAAGGTAATCTGAAGAATACCTTGTAAATTATCAAAGAAAAACAGTTCTAGCCTTAGGGAATAGGGATACTGATGTACTCCAGTCTCCAGACAAATATGATTGGAGACAGGATTGGCCCATATATTTAACGGCCCAAAAGTTTGGCCTTGGGTTGTGCAGTGGCCCAATGAAAGCCTTTTTCTATACTCTTGTTCACATTTCGCCAACCTTTCTCTAATCTCCATCAATGAAAGTCTTGGCTCTTTGGGTTTCATCATTGACACAGTTAAAGATGTCGACTTTTGTATCCGGCCAAGACCCAAAACATTGCAGCAAAGCACGCCCTAGGTTCCAGCCTAGAACTCTTGGGGCCCGTCTGCTTTGAAATGATGATGTATTCAATTTTTTTCCTCACATCCACATCACAGCCTTTGCAGCTGCACATCAGGAACACCTCTGTATCTATATGATTTTATTCATAGGAGATGGGAGATGTTTCCAATGCACAACTGTAAGGGCTGTGAGGACCAATTTTGCTAGGAGGAAAATGATTTCCAGATTAATTATTGAGAGAAGTTGAAGGGTAGCCTTTCAAATAGGGCTGGTAAATTTGACCCCAATCCATTTGACCCACCCACCTGATAACCCACTCATACCCATCCAATTCAACAGTGGGTCAAGATGGGTCAAATGACCCATGAGGTTAAGGGTGACCCTTAACCCTCTCTTTAGGAAAATTAGGTTATTCTCCTCCTGAAACTTTCTCTCTCTCTCTCGCTTCACTTAGATCTACCGTAGGTAGATGCCATACTGCCCCTTTCTCCCTCTCTCGCTTCATTTTCAGATCTTTGGTAGGTGGATGTTGTACCACTCCTTTGTCGTGCTCGGATCTACCGTAGGTGGATGTCGCACCGCCCCTTTCTCGCTCAGATCACCGTAGTACCACCACTCTCCCTCTCTCTTGCTTCATTTTCAGATCTTTGGTAGGTGGATGCTGCACCACTCCTCTGTCGCGCTCAGATCTTGAAGCTCGCCGCCACACCACCACCCTCTCTCTCTCTGTCACTTAAATAGATTAACTTTTTAAAAATATTATCAAATAAGGATAAAAATACTATTCATCCCCTACCTCCTTCGAACGAACAACCAGCGGCGGCGCACCCTTACCTCCGGCCCAATTTTCTCTCTCTTCCACTCTCTCTTCTTCCTTTTATCTCTCATTCTTCTTCTTCTTCTTTGAAATCTTCCTCTATTTTCGGTCACCGTTGCAACTCTTGGCAGTGGTGATCTCACCATCCCTCTCCTTTTCTTCGTCGTCCTTTGGTCCACTTTTGTCCGCTCTCTCTCTCTCTCTCTCTCTCTTTTATTCCCTTTCTACTCCTTTCTTTCCGTTTTAGACAGCGCTGCTTTGCAGCGGCGGATCTGAAACCAGAAGCGGCGGCGTTTCCCTCCTTTCACCGATAACTGAGAAACCTTATCTTTCTCTTTATGGTTTTCCTCCTATTCTCTCCCACCTACAACTCTTCTTACCTGTCTCCATCGTCTCTCTGTCTTACCTTAGGCCCAAGTTGAACGTCATTCTTCGCCCTCCATTTGTGACCGAACAGAGCGACGACGACGGCGGAAGCCGGATTCTAGCGCATTGTTTACTTTTCTTTCTCATCTTAGCACCGAACAGAGACGGTGGATGAACTACCACCAGAGCAGCGGCAGATTTGAACCTTGTTCCTTCAACGCTGCTTTCCTGTTCATCTCTGAGCGAATCATCGTAGTTAATTCGTCTTGCTTCCAGTTGACCTCTGTCAGCATTCGTAGAACCCATTACTGTTGGAAGGTAAGTAACTCGTGACTAAAACTGTTTGAAACCCACTCTGTCCTGTCGATCATATTCAGTCAGGCCTACATCAAAATCCAGATAACTTGTTCTAATTCTTTTTTATTGTTCTTAGATTTTCTCATTTTTGTTCGATGATTTTTTGATTAATAAACTATAAGAAGAAGATGATGAATAGTAACTTTGCCCCTTTGTTATATTATTTTAAAAAAGTCTACTTATTTTTTAAATTTTATTAAATTTATTATTTTTATTGATATTAGGATCCAAAAGTTGCCCTTATATGCTATAATCAGTTTGAAATATTTATAATGTCTTGTAAATTCTTGCAACTTGAAATGTAAATCCCATTAAGGGTGCTACAAATTTATGCAAAAATATTTTTGTAAATTTGTATCTCTGAAATATTTTTTTTTTAAATTTGCTTCATTATTCAGTGGATGCATTGTCCAGTTTTGCTTGATTTTTTTTGAAAAATTTTATCATTTTATTAGTTTGTCTGCAATTTTTTACTTTTTTGCTATAATATATAATTTTTGAATTTTATCATTTTATGTATTTTTGCAATTTCTGCTTTTATCCCATCTTTATATTTATCTGATTTTTTTGTTTTTTTTCAATTTTCTTGTATTTTTTCTTTTTAGTGTTTTGCTATAATTCCCATTATTTTTTATAATTCGTTTTTTTTTTCATTTTCTATTTTCTACAATCTATATATTTTCTGTATTTTTTGTTATTTATTTGCAATTTCTTTGTTTCTCTATAATTTTTGGTGTTTTCTACAAATTTTATTTTCTGATTTTTTTATTTTATGCAATTTCTTTAGTTTATATAACTTAGATTTTCTTTTTGTTTTTGAAATTTTTATTATGTTTGCAATTCTATAATTTTTTATTTTTTTGCAATTTCTTTGTATTTATGTATTTTATATATGAAAATATTTTTTGAACTTGTTTTCCTTTTTATGTTTTTTAGTTAAAACATATATGTGTATATTTTACATTTATATATAATTCTATTCACATTTTTACATTTTTTGAATTTTCTTACAACTTTCCTATATTTTCTGCAATTTTCAATGTTTTTTACATGAAATATTTTTTACATTTTTTGTATTGTTACAAATTTTTATTGTTTATTTATTTGAAAAAATTGAAACTTTTTATTTTTCAATTGAAATATATAGCTCTATATGTTTATGCAATTAAAACAGAGAAAAATTAAAAGGTTAAGGTTTTGTTTTGAATTAGTGGGTCAAATGGATGGGTTAGGGTGGGTAAGGGTTAGAGTGGGTTGTGACCCACTTTGACCCACTAATATGGGTGGGAGATGGATTAATGGGTCAATATGTGTGGGTTAGTACTCAACCCTCACCCAACCTAACCCAACCCACCCATTTGCCACCTCTACTTTCAAACGACTGGCTGACTATTGATTTGCACTCTCTGGATTTTCCACCAAAGGTAATAGTGTGTCTGCATGTGTAGGGCCTACTGGGAAATCCAAAGCTATTGCATTTCAGCCCACCAAAGAAGGACTTAAAGTCAAACAACTATTGTGCTGGTGGATGCCCCAAGACAAAGTTGTGGAATTAATAGGATGCAAAAGAAATTTCTATGGACAAAAGGGAAAAAAACCAGTAGTCCTCCTAGTAAAGTGGAAAGTTAAGAGGGTGTTTGGTTTCGTTTACGTTTATGGGTGGTTGTTTATTTGTGCTTTTTCACTTTAAACGTTTATTTATACTTTTTCACTTTAAACGATTTTTACTTTAAACATTTCTTGTTTTTGTTGTTTCGTTGGGTTTCACTTTAAACGTTTTTTATTCTCCACCTCAAATTAATACCCATTAAAGTGTGGCAATCAACATTTGGTTTCAAGAAACGCTAGGGTGTTGGGGAAACAAGAATTTGGCATTCCCCAAATGCCCCATGCACAAAAATCAAAATATTTCAGCTTTTTACCATTTATCTGATAAACGGTGAAACCAAACAGTTGTTTCATTTTGCTTCATATGCAATAAATGCCAATGGAATCAAACACATACTAAGTTGGATGGTCATAACAGAAGCCACAAATTACTATATGTAATGAGGAATGAGAATTTGTGGGAATTTTTTATGAAAGAAAGAGCATCTTGAGCATGGA